CCCCAAAAGTATATCTTGAAGGGGGCCCTCAAAAATTGTGGGCAGACCCTGCCCACATGGAACTTACCTTGCCACTTAGTTTGCAGTTCTGTTACTTGCTAGTGTACATATATAGGCTCCCATGTAGTTCTACTGATCACATATACTAGTCTGTGATGGTATATGGCTGTTAGAGCCTAAGTCTGCAGGGAAAGGGCCCTCTCATATTTCAACCAAACAGCCTGCTGGTTAGGGCACTCACTTGGGAAGTGGAAGACTGAGGTTTTAGGCTTCTCTTATTCAGAATAAATTTGGATCTTCTTCATCTCTTCAGCTTCAACTTCCCAGGATAGTGTTCTAACCACTGGAACACTGTACCTTATCCAGTGCCCTCTCCAGCACTTTGTTTGAAACTGAGCCACTGCACCTTGTATTTAATAGCCATTGGATAAAATGGATGGAGAAGTCTTTGCACCATTGGGAGCAAGGATCCAGGCTAAAATCCAGAATCTAATCCCATTTTAGTGAGCTACACATCCTCTAGTTTGCCTTTTTTTTCCTGGCTCCACATCCCTATCTTGGCTAGCCAAGAGGCCAGCTTCAGGAGAAGAGCAGAAGAAAGGAAGGGATAGTGTTTTTAATTTGTGAAGCAATGGTTAGAGTGATGTTCTAGGAAATCCTGTCAGAGTGATGGGATTTAAGGCTAGAACCAGGATTTCCTGCTTTCTGTATGAGCACCCTTACTACTCAGTTGTTGGATTCAAAACACAGCAGTGTCCTCCCTCATTCCTCCAGTGCCTAACATCTGCTGGTCCTGGGTCTCTGTTGTGTAGAATTTCCTGGCTTACACCTGCCCAGCATATGTGTGTACATAGCTGTCTGGCCAGTGTGTAGCCAACTGCACATGCTCAGGATCCATGTGGATGCTGACACAACCACAATGCATGGGTAATAGAATTGTATATTGTGCATAAAAAGAAAGTGCCCAGGGTTTGCTTGTAATGGATATGAGTGGTTACACACCATCCCCCACACCTCGTTTTCAAATATAACAGAGTTATAGAAACAACTTACAATTTAATGAAATAAAAAATAAGCTAGTATAGATAGTATGTCATCTTTAAAATATTACATGAAAGGTCACATCTTTTATGTATTTAATACAAATCCAGATGCCTTGTAGTACAATTTACAGAACTAAATTCAGGTGATATTTTCAAGGCTCTTAGCTAAATACAATTTAATTCACTCCCTTAGGTTCCTTTGGGAAGGTCTCAATCTTAACACCTCTAGAGAGGAGTGACAATTTAAGATACTGAAAGCCTCTCTAGGGACAGGAGATGCATTTGGCATTACAAGGAAAAGTCTTCTGAGTCATGATATTTTCTAAGAAATACATGATCATTCCCTGAGATACTCTGTTCTCTTCTAGACCAAGTCACCTGTTTTCTTTTCTCTTTTTAAAGTTTGTAAGCTTTTATTGGGGCTGCTTTAAAGCTAATACTGTCTTATGAAATCCACCTTGCAGAATTCAACATGTTCCATATGATTGCAGTGGGGCTGAGTAGCTCTATACTCGGTTGCCTTCTTACGCTCCTTGTTTACACATATTGCCAGCGATATCAGCAACAATCCCATGATGCAACTGTCATCCATCCGGTATCACCAGCTCCTCTTAATACCAGCATCACTAACCATATCAATAAGCTGGACAAGTATGATTCTGTAGAAGCCATCAAGGTGAGAAAAAGGGAGAGGTCACTGTAATGTGTAACTGTATGACTGCATAAAGTGGAATTCTGCTTGTTAGTTTTTCATGGTGGAAGTTGGGGTCAACATCAGAATTAAATTAATAATGTTAAAAATAGCAGAAGTTTGGATTAAAAAAAAAGATTCAGTTATAAGTATCAAAATTATAAAGCCTTTACCATACCCACCTGTATTGCACAGAATATAAACCATTATGATTTGGCTGGTATGCCTACATACTATTAACTGTTCCTGGAAGAAACTAGATCATTGCTTAGTTTTTGGTTTAAAATTGTCTTCCCCAATCTGCTATCTTGAAGGCAAATCTGGACCTTGACAATCGTAGCAAAATGTTGCAGAGATTTTTCTGTAGTTCCAATGACAGCAAGCCAAAGGTCCTGTTCCCCTTCCCCTTCTATGCCTTCATATGTATGATTTAGGTGGTGAACACAACAGGTCAAATTGTCATCTGTGTGAGATGAGCCAGGCAGACTAATGCCAGCTAAGAGCCAGCTAAGAGTCTGGCATGATGAGTATACTGCATGGCCATAGGTTCCACTGTATTATTCATGTTTATGATCTTTTAGAGCACCTGCCCCTTTCAGATCTCTTAAAGTATGTGGAACTGGACAGTCTGAAGGTATGTAGCTCAATACCAGATCTTGCAGAAATTTCTATAACTTGGGTCTAGAGCCCTGATTAGTGACTTTTCTTTTTCATTTTCCCTTTTTCATATTATTTCTTTAAAAAACAGAGGGTTTAAAATGTAAAGAGAATATCATTTTCTGTGATCAACGTGAGTTAGATACTTTTGAAATTCCCATTAGACAATTATCTTCATCGTTAAGCATCGAAAAATAGCTTTGAAAATCTGACCATCAGGTCAAATGCAATTTGGTTATGTCAGCCCCTAAGCAAGATTTAAATGCAGTTTAGGTGCCAGTGTTACACAGAGTGGTCTAAAAGTAATTTCTGTTGTTTAATGACTATTTAATATAAAAAGCATAAACAGAACTGCCTACCCTTAGAACTGTTACTGGTTGTTCTGGATTGCAGAATAACTGAGCTACTTATTTTGGAGACTGAGTCAGGAGTTTAGGAGACTGACAAAGGCAGAATTTTAGAAACAAACCAGAAAACCTTCAGGATTTCTGGATTGCTCTTCAGAAATGTCAGTTTCTTTCTATGGAAATGCTTGATTCCTAGACAACCATACCTGGTCAAATTAGATTGTCCTTCTGAGCCAGGGACCCTACGTTTTCACCATTCCATTGCCTAAGTATAGGAGTCTATGGGCCAGATTTTTTGCCACACATTGGAAGTCTACATGGACCTAGGTGTCTAAGTGTGATTCTGTTTCACACTTCTCAAATCTGTGAAAAACTGTTAATGCAAAAAGTGGAGGTTCCTCTTCCTCCTTGCTGCTTTTTTGTAACTTAGACTCAAAGTCAGATTATGGTGCGTTACCAAAGTAGATGCATTACTGCATTTTCAGGACTTGAATATGAGGAAATAGGATCACACTTAAGCATGTAAGTCCACTTAGACACCCACTAGGTAAAACAGAATCAGGTCTTGGCTCTAACCAAACAGGATCTGGCCCTTAGTCCCTAAATCACTTCTGAAAACCAGGCTTAGGCTCCTAAACCACTTAGATACTTTTGAAATTTTTACTATAAAAAAATCAAGAAGTGCATAAGGAGTAAAGCAAAAAAAAATTAAGTCAATAAAGCTATACAGAGACATTTTGACAATGAAAATATTGCAGGAAAAAATGAATATTATAAAAAGCAACTGGTAGTTTTCAGGTATTCTTAAATATATATATATATGTATCTATGTATCTATGTATGTATTGCATTGCTGGTGTACAGCAGAATCTAGCTACTGAATGAAGGACTTGGACATAGATGAATACATAATGCAAGTGTTCATAGTAAATGTGCCCCTAGACTATATTTTTGTCTAAAACTATGACTCTTGAGGTTTGCCCCCCAAAATCACTTTAAATAATGCTTACTGACTCCCCTCCCCTCCCCCCCATTTTCTTATTCTTTTTCCAGGCATTTAACAAAAACAACCTGATCCTGGAGGAGAGAAACAAATACTTCAATCCTCATCTAACTGCAAAGACCTATTCTAATGCCTATTTTACAGATCTCAATAATTATGATGAGTACTAATGGGCTTGTGTATTTTTTTGGCCTCTTGTAACTCCCCAGTTCCCCAAGGCCTGTGCTACATGACCGCCCATGTGTTTGAGGCTTCAGAGATGAAATTTGGAGACATTTCAAGCACACTCCAAGCCATCAGTGTCCCATTGCTGCCAAAAACCATAAAACACCTGTATGTGACATGATGTTCCCTATTGCAGAAAGTAAAAGTTTGGCTGACAGTATCAAGTGTCAAGATAACACCTGGGCTTTGCTGAACAAATCATGAGGAGTATGTCACTTTGTTCAAGTTTCTTAATGTTGGGTCAGATGTTGCTAACATGTTTCTAACTATTTTATTGAGCTCTCAAAAAGTTATAACCCCTCTAAAGAGTGTGCCAGGACTATGACTTTCATTTCCTTTTGGACATTGCCACCTTCTTTCCAGAAGAATTGAGGAAAAAGCTCTGCTCCTAGGAATGGGCCCCTCTAAGGGATCTTGGTGACATCATACTGCCAACAAATGTACAGAACATTGATTTAAGTGACAAGGAGAAATTTGATATTCTGTAGGTACTCCAAGCAGTCTACAGTTTGTCTGCTTTGACTGCAAAGCGTTGTCTGAAGTTCTTGGAGTCTATTGAGCTATCTGGACCTTGAAGAAAACAGAATATATACCAAGGGCTTCTTGTGACAAAAGGGAAATCTGCAGAGTAGGTGGTTCCAAGTTGTAAAACAGTTCGGGTGACAAAAAAGCCTTCATCTTGTTTGTTTTATTTTGTTGGGAGGCTGCGGGGAGGAAGACAGGTGGGGAGGGCACATTTGAGCGTTTTCTGCATGTCGTTAGTAAACTAGCATTCTTGTAGCGTATGGACTTGCATGACTCATGGCATTCCAAAGACTTCCTCTCTGCGGCGTGCGCATACAGAATACACTTGTCTGGTCCCTTGTAGTGTTCAACGTCATGCCAGTCACTGAAAGGAATACCATACCTTGATTTTTTTCACCATACTTTGTCCCTGGCACTCTTGCAAACATATGAATAACTGTAAAATTGGTTTTCTTTTTACACCTGTCTGACAAACAAAAAGTCATGGAGTGCGAATGTGTTATGAAAAACGTAGTTCTCATCTTATTGATGTGTCTGATCCAGGCTAATCAACCTCTCCAGGAGCATTAATAATGTTGTTTAAAGTGAGCTTCCCGTGGGGATTTATTGATGTAAATATTTAAAGTACCAGCTGAGTTTTAAGATGTCATCTGTGATTTCTTGTGCAACAGCAGGCAAGGGAACAGAAGCGATCCTCAAATTGTTGTGCCATTTCTCTTTGTTTCCTCCTACCCCACCACACCTCTGATATCTTTATTTTTGGAACAGCAATTCCAGCTGTACCACTGAAATGAAAATGGCAGGGTTGTGTGCCCTTTCTTCAGCCCAGAGGTCCAAAGAATGTTTATCATAAAAGATACATTTCAAAGCTTACTAGTTGTTATTCTCAAAGAGTTCAGAAAAGAAATTAAACAGTGAATGTTAAGGTTTAAATAATTGCCTGTTTTTAAAGTATACAATATGCCAAGAGTATTTCAAGGCAGGGAAATGAAAAGTGGGGATGTTTCAATTTTGAAGACTTGTTCTTTAGGGCATGGGGTGGTTAGTTAGACACCTAGAGGAAACACCTTTAAATGCAAAATGTTAGAAATAAAGTCACTCAAAATTTTGCAGGATAAACTATGCAAAAAAGCCAGCAAATGTAGAATTGCATGTGAGGGTGTGCACAGCTATGGTGGCCTTGTTATTTATATGGCCAGGTTATGGATTGACGAGAAGACTATGTTAATTCCTCAAACCGTGCCTAGGCAGACAGGGTTCTTTGGGTAAATCCAATATCTTTTATTACACCAACTCAGATAGTTGGAAAAATTCTTCTTAGCAAGCTTTTGGGCACAAACGCCCTTCGTCAGGCTTTGGAAGTATCTACAACTTACACCCCTCAAACCATACCTATACTTTGTAGTTTGCTATATTTTTGAATGGGGACAGTTTTGAATACTATACTAAGCTTTCCACATCTGCTCTGCAGTAAAATGAGAAAATGCAAAGAAAATAGGCTTGGAGAAGCCTTCCAATATGAGCACAACTGAAGGACCTTCTGGTACTTACCAAGGGAGAGTTAATTTTACATCTCGTGCATTATTTGTGTGCAGTATATTTATACTACACTGTGCTCACAGCACACATTTACATTCACTGAAAATAATTAAGATGGGCTTCCTGGTTGTTTTTATTGGATTGTTCTCAGTATTCCTTTTAACTGCCCACTAAAAAAAAAAAAAAAAAAAAAAAAACCCCC